GTATTTTATATATAAATCCATGTTTTTAAACCTGCACTCAATCTCCCTCTAGCTAAATACCCTTCCATTTTTTCTTCAGCTCTCATCTGCTTGCTGTGAGATATTTGGAGAGATGTGAGATATTTTGAGATATTTGTGTGAGTATCTCAATGATGTGGCCACCTGAAGCGCTTGCTGAACAGGTAGTAAACACTGTGAGCCGACTTATTTGCACCTACTTAGCTGGCTGGCTGCTTACCTAGCTGCAACACATTTGATTTATTTGCCAACAGCTGTCGCCACATTTGCTTGTAGACTTTAAAAATATGCCGACCCTTTTCTTGTCCCCCTCTCACTCACTCGCACTGTCTCTCTCTCTCTCTCTCTATTGCTCACTCTTAGTGCTGGGTTGGCCGAGGCATGGCTGCAGCTGAGTATTTGCTTGACAAACTCTTATTCTAACCGCAGCTGGCTAATTTTTGGCTAGCTGCCAACTGCAACATGGTGTTGGCTGTTGCGGTGCTGCTTTTGGCCATGTTTATATTTGTTGCATCTCGCATATTTCATCGCATGGCCGGCAATTGCAATTGAATAGATTTTTTACTTTTGACATATCTTATTGTTATTGCATGTTTATTTATTACTTAACGCTTTCCTCCCTCTCCCTCTTTCTCTTTTTTTTTTTGCTGACATCATCAATGGTTCAGCGGCTCTGCCAGTTGATTCATCATTTATTTTATGGCTATTGCAGCGACAAACGATTTTATTTCTCTCTTATTTATTTAGTTTGCTCTGTTTGCCTGGCAGACCCCCACAAAAAGAAGAGCCAAATCGTGAAGCGAAAAGAGCAAAACAATTGATTATAAAGTAAAACAAGCCGCATTGCTAAATTTTACGCACAGTTTCCGGACTGCCACACAGCCTCACAGTAAAACCAATTGTGCGCCCATCCATCACTTGATGTATTAGCGCAACAACAGCTGCACACTCATACAGAGAGACTCATCTGTGTGTGGGTGTGGGTGTGCGTGTGCATATGTTTGCTGGCGCGTTGGTGTGTCAATGTCGGCGTCAAAGTGCCAAACAAACTGCCAACTGCTGAAATATAAATCGCACAACAATCTTGTCTGCGTATACGCAATATTTGCTGGCGTGCTATGTCCTTGCAACCAAATACACACACACGGGCATACATAACCAAATACTCACACACACAAACACATACATACATATGCATTTTTAAACACACTCAAACACAATGTATTGTACTATTTCATGACCTTAAAATATCCTGGATATGCTGAAGGCATATGCATATACATTTTAATTAATATGATTATTTTTTAAATAGTGATTATTATTCTCGCTATTATTAGCATTATTCTTGCTCTTATTGCGTATTTTTAGTTATTTTTTCATTTACTTTTGCTTTTGATTATTTTATTTTTCTTAATCACTTTTTAACTTCCTTCTTCAATTTTTTCGCAAACTTTTTCCTTTTTTCTTTTACTCCTCATTTATTTTTATTTTATGTTTTGTTTTCGCTCTTTTTCTGTCTTGATTGCCTATTTCTCTCCCTCTCCTTCTTATTCTGTTTCCTGTTTTTATTTACTTCTGCTTTCTTTCTTCAATTCTTTCTTTCTTTGTTTATCTTTTGTTTGATATCCTTATTCCTTAATCAATTTTTTCTGTATTACTTTTTCTTCCTCATTTCTAGATTTTATCTTTACCTTTCTCGTTTGTCGCTTTCTAATTATCCTTCTTCCACTATAATTTTTAGTCTTCTTCATTTTCCCTTTCTTTTTCTCCCTTTATCTTTACTCATTTTGTGATCTTCTTTTTCCTATCCTGCTTTCTCCTCGTTTCTTTTTCTATTTGATCCTTTATTATTTCCTGCTGTTCTTTTCTGCTCCTCTTTTAATTTTTTTTTTCGGCTGTCCTGTTTCCCTCCGCTTTTTTGTTCCTTCTCCTTTCTTTCTTCTTCTTTCGATTTCTTCTGCCATTCGTTCTTCTCATTTCTCTTCCTCTATTGTTTCATTTCTATTATTTATACCGATTCCTTCACCTTCGCCTTTGACCTTCTCATGTTTTTCTTTTCTTATCTTCATCTCCATTATCGTTCAATCCATTTAATATACCCGTTATCCAACGCATCAGCTACTGGGTGTAAATAAATTAAATTTTGTTCACAATATTTGCTTTGCAACTGGCTGCATTCGTGTCTGCCTCTGAATGCTCCCCTGCCTCCGCCTCTGCTGCTGCCTTTCCCATTGCCACTGCCTTTGTATTTCAACATACCAAATACTCAGCTGAGCTGTGCTGAATGGTGCACGCCTGTGTTTCGTGCATTGTGACTTATTTATGGAAACTGAAGCTTGATCAGCTTACTCTATTTGTGTCAAGATAATTGCGAAAAAGTATTTGCTTCCTTTGTGCACATTTAATGAGTCAATAAAACTGCATTTCGCGCTTCACATCTCGCTCCAACAATTTATCCACACTTGGCGCGGCGCATTCATTTAATTGGCTTCAATATGCTACATTTTGATTCAGACAAATGAGTGCCATAATTAGCTCTAAACTGCCACTTGACGATGTATTTCTGGAGGCGTTAAGTGCCGAGGCTGCCAAATTTGCGGCCCATTAACCAGAGACACAATAAGCGGAAAGAGACTCTCGCATGTGCTTAAATATAAAATGATCAATGTGGTCGAGGCTGCATTCGAGCAATTTGTTGTGAACAGCCATGAAATATTTATGTTACAATTAATCGGATTATATCAAATTAAATTTTTAATATTCTTAATATCTCTAGTAGAGAAATCTACGAAGAACTAAGAAATTTCTATTCGTACTTGGGACATCAGCAAATCCTATGAAATTAGTTATTACATAATTTAAGTCTTAACACTATGCTAATATGTTTATTTTTATATTTTAAT